CATTTCCCTTAAATACTTCTATTTCATTAAGTCCTAGTATTTTTTCAACTAATAGCACTGAATAAAAAGCCAAATTAAATCACAGGTTCTTACAGCTTATAAACAAAACTTTTAAGGATACTGTGGCACAATTTAGAATATAAGCATAAATATCTAGGCCAATAAATAGATCAACTTTCATGGTAGACTACGCCAGAAAACTTGCATGCTTAAATCTAGAACAGTCTGGCTAGTGGGAGATGAAAGTCTGTTACATCATGATGTTGTTTAGCATCTGATGTGAAATGAGTTGATGGCAGTTTCCTTCCCTTCTTGGGCACCTACATCTAAAAAATTAAAATAATCTTTGAAGATACAGCAGAGACAAAGCACTGAACAACTTTCATTTCAAGTCATAGCCATATTGCTGTGTGTCAGCTTGTATTGATTTTTAACTGGGTCTTTGGCATTCCAAACAGGATTTACCTTATTTGACTAGAGGAACTGCAGCAGTAATTCTTTCTCTGGGGGAAGGAATGGTTATTGTAGTTCAGTGTCTAATTATGTGGCAGAATACTAGAGGTTGTTTGCTCTCTCTCATTCATATCCAGTATTCTGTATTTTTTTCTTCTTTCTAGCTATAGATGATGAAATAACATTGCATTTTTAATGTATAGAAGTACATTTCAAATTTCCAGGAAAACAAGGGATAACTGCAGAGTGACAAAAAGTGAATACCATGTTTGGTTCCCAAATGATTTTGGTCAGAGATTCAATTTTGCCCGTGAAGGTTTTTCTAGGGATTTGATTGTGTTTCTACATAATACATAAATAGAAATGGTTTTGTTCAGTACTTTTCAAAGTCAGTGCAAGAAAAATAATTACTTTTCTTTTGATTTACTTCAAATGCATAGCTTAAAAATCTGCAATGGTTTTTGACCTGAAGTATTTTCTTAGGCACTTGAATTAAAAAAACCCCTTAATGTATTCCTACACCTTTAATTTCTCATTTGAACAGGGAGAAGTTCTTTCCCACTTAACCTTTGATTTTTAACTTTTAGTGCATTAGTAAACCTCAAGCATATAACATTATGGAGAATACTATATTGTCTTCCTCCTGTCAGCACCCCTTTGTACCCATGAAGCAATATTTCTTCTCAACTGCAAGTGTCTTGAAAGCGAAGGTTATCTGGGAACACTGAAGTGTTCACAAGATGCTCAGTGCAATTCAAGACAGAAAAGTCAGAGTCAAATGTCAAGAGATTTACTCTACAGAAAGATTAATAGTTTGTTACATCAACACAGCATTTTTATTACTATTTCTCACTTCCTGCATAGTAGAAGATTCCGGGATTAGGGACTGTGACGGGATATTTCTTAATCTATACAACCAGCTGACATTTTTAATAATTTACAGTAAACACTGCACATATCTCCAGCTTGAGTTGTCACAGGTGAAGATATTAATGTGAGTAATTAGATACATGAAGTGAAAATTCAGTTTACAGGGAGGGACTCTTCACATCTATTTGTGGTCAGATGTGATGTCAGGGGATGGCTTGTTCAAGGGCAGTTCTCAACACAACTGTGGGTTGCTTAGCACCAGTCTTTTGTGACAGTTCTTATAATTTGGAGTCCTCCCTTAAGCCTCCCTCTTAGTTTCATTGAATGAAACCTCCTCAAATAATGAATTTATACCGCAGTTGGACTTTGTTGTTGCTGAGACTTAACTGTGACCTCTTTGCAGGCAGGTTAGTGCCTGAGACGTGAACATGTCGTGCTGTTTGTGGTGCTTCTGATCTGAAGCTTAACTGAGTTACCATCAGTAAAGGCATTTGGTTTTGAGCCAGTCTGACTAATCTGTAGGAAGCGTAAGTCAAGGAAGTGAAGCAAGGACCGTGAAGCCCTTGAAGGGAGAAGTGCAGCCCATGTAACTTGCTCCATCTCCGACTGGCTGGGTACAGGGAAGCAACAAAAAAAGCCACATATTGCTCCATGCTTGGACTCTGCCATTTTGTTTTACTCTTGGACTGGATGCTGATACTCCAGGAAATTCCAGGATCTCCCAGTCATGAGGACCATTGCACTATTCACATCTTTTCATGTTCCTGGCAGAGAGACTTTAACAGTGGAGAAATCCTGTGTGCCAGTATATCTTAAAGCAACATCTCTTGTGTTGTGCCATCACAGGCAAAAGTCTCAGGATGGGACAGAAGGCAAACCCGATAACGAGTCTAATCAGTTTGATGAACTCAGTCTCTTCCTTAAGCCTGTGACTTGAGGGTGTAGCCCATCCTGTCATGATAACTGGTGCTGAGAATCAGTAGGATGGGCTCAGGGCTTCTGGTGGTTTCAGGCTTCCTCTGCTCCTCACTGTGTGCAGCTGCCGCAGCTGCACCTCCTGAGAGCAGCTGTATCTTCCACCCCCACTCAAACCCGAGGGGTGAACTTGGAGTATGATGGGGATATGGGGGAGAAGCATGAGAACTGCTGCTCCCATTACACACTAGGTTTTCATGCACATAACTGTCTTATTTTTTTTCCCTTTGACTACTGTAGCAAATGCTCTAGTTTTGTTAGTAAAACAAAAACAACCTTTTTATTGCTTCTTATATTTGGAAAGTGATGTATTACGGGTTTCTGAACTGAAGGTTTAGTAAAGAGTACAGACATTAGCTTCCTTTCAGGCTGCTCTGGGCCTTTCTTGTTTGCTTTGTATGGCAAGGGTCTAGAGAGATTTCTTTTATTTCCTTCCCCACCATTGTTTTTGGTACAAAGTTGGGGTTTTTTCTTAATATTCAGACATTTTATCGCCTCACTTCTTTTAAAACTCTGAGGTTCTTTTTTTTTTTTCTTTTTTCCGTCACACAAAAGAATACTTTTAGCTGATTGAGTTCTATCCATTGCCAACTGTGGACTCTTTTGTCTTGCCAGTCCAGCATCCTTTATAAAATGAGGACCATTGAGCAAGTACTCGCAGGCTCCCCACTGAGCACAATTGTGCTTGAAAGGTGTGGTACTGTACCAGTGTAACATGGAAAGCTGCAGTTCAGAGGCCCTGAATGCATTGCAATTTCTACCTTTTGCTTTGTGAAAGGAGCGGGATTGTGCTGCGAGATAATAAATCCACCTATTTTTAGTTTGGTGAGGTTGTGACAAGTGGGTGAACAAAGAACCAGTTGAATGCACTTGCTGTTGTGTTGAAACCGGCTAAAAGTTCCCATTCAAGTGGTTTCAGCACAGTACAGCTAACAGGCAATTTTCCATTTATGTACACAAACCTTCTAGAAAGACAGCTGTGTGGTTGGATTAATTTCTAGCAGTAAATTGAATAAAAGATATTTTGAAGGGGGACTCGGGAATTCCTTTCTGAAACATTGAAAGCAGAACTTTCAAAGCTTTTCTTTATTTGGCCCCTTTCCTTCCCAGTGCCTACTATAAGATTTAAAGAACTGAAAATATTGTCCCCTGTATGGAGATATACAACAGGATGTGTTCTTTTTAAAAGCAATGAGATAGACTTAGAATTAAAATATACTTTAACATTTTTTACTTTAAAAATATAATTTTTTGCTTTATGAGAGAAATTCATACCTCTTAGTCATAGAAAGAAACTCAAATGTTCTTAAATGTTTGTATTTGAATAAGCTATAAATGAGAAATATAGAAGTGTTTTGAAAACAGGAATGTATATTATACCAAAACTTCACCATAGTGAGGTTTTCTCTTTTATGCAGTTGTATACAAGCAAGGCTGACTAAATCAAATTTCTTCTGAATTTGTTAAGATTTGTTTAAAAAGTATCCAGAGATACTGGTAAGATGCTTAAGTGGGTGCTGATGTGTTATGGTGAAGCGGGAACATTACCCAGTGCTCTGGAAGAGCATCTGGAATACAGCATACAAGGAATGTTGCAATGTTCCCTGTTTCAAATAAACAAATATAAAATACTTAAGAAATGACAAATTGGGGGAGGAAGCTGGAAATGGGTGTGAAAGTTGGTCTTTTTCCCTGCGGATCTACTTGTAATAAAATGACTGCCGTGTGTGAGACTGGAGTCACTTAACCAGTAAGATACTGAAAATTAGTATAATGTTATTCTCCTGTCTCACACCACCTCTGAGGACCCCTGGCTATTCCAGCTTCCTCTCACTGTGTGCTTGTATGAGGCAGAATTTAGAAGTTTCCCACTAGTTAAAATCTAAGTTCTGCTGTCTGCATATTTCTGATGGTTCTTAAATGTTGCTTCTGGATTCTAGTCAAGGGTCTCTTACAGTTACATGAGGAACTTAGGCATTTTATTCCTTTATCTGTGGGGCAGAGGTAGCACATTTACTGGGGATTTCTTTTCTTCTTTCCTTTGTCTAAATAAAGGCGAGTGCCCCTCTGGTTTTTAATATACTTTGAATTTAAACAGAATTGCTCCAATTCCTGAGCTCTTGTTCAGACAGTACCCAACTGAAAAGACAAGCTAAGCTGACTCTGGAGCAAGATGTTCCCAGTAGAAGCTTGGGTTCCTTCTGTTCAGAGTTTACCCAAATGTGCCAGTTGCTTTGCTGACTCTGGCTGAGGTGACGCCTAAGGGCTCATTGTCTGCATGAGAAATTAATTGTTGACCAGGCTGCAGTGCAGCTGTCTGACCTAAATGCTGATGTTACCAAATGCTCTGCTCTGGATTTGCCAGAAACCTAATACAGCGAACTGGGTGGGTGTGTGCACTTCCTCATGGTAGTTGACCAAAATTAGGTTTTTGGATATTTCTGCATAAAAAAAGGGACTGTTTTTCTCACAAATGGGAAACTACACAGGCAAAATATCAGTGCAAAACCAGACTGTAGTAAGTTAATACTATTCTTCCTTTTTCTTCATGCCTCTCATTTCCAGGATTACTTTGAACACGTGACACTCTTGAGTACATACTCTCAAACCATTCAGGAATTTAAGGAATTTATTCTACTCCTGTACAGTTGTGGTTAATATATTCATCGCTTCTCTTTTTTCTTTCCTTTTTTTTATTGCAGACTTTAAAAAATTCCAAAAGTCTTTGCTCCCTTGACTATGAAGATGATGATGATGACACGCAAATGAAGACAATTGTGTCATCGCCATGTGACTCAAATGATCTTATGAACATCATCACCCCTGGCTCCAGCCCGATGAAAGAACAGCAGCTGGATGAAGTCAGGCATCACGGGTCATGCCAAGGTGGCTTCAAAACAAGGGATTATAAGAAAGCAGACGCAGTGTGTGAAAGCGACGAGGACACGAGTGATTGTGAGAGCACCGAAGAAGGAATCTTTCCTCTAGACTGTGGGGACCTGGACCTAGAGCAGATTGAAAACAACTGAGAACTCCAAGTTGTGTGCTAGAATCAGAATTGTTCTAAATTAAAAGTGATAGAGGATTACCTTTGCCATGCATAATCCATGTCCCTGAATCTCTGTATTGCCTATCTTGGGCTGTGTTAGAAGAAATGTTTCAGGTGGGGGAAAAACGTGAACCATTGTTACCTGTTTAGTCTATTGGTCAATATGTGGATGACAACAAAGTAAAAAAAGTAGGAGGTTAAATGTTATTTTGAAGATTAAGGAATAATTTTGATTAAAAATTTCCTAACAGATATTTTGCATTTTTATGGCTTTTACAGTTCTGGAGAAAAAGCATCTCTATTTTGAAACGAATTTTCAGAAGGGCATTCTATAAAACTAAATCTGTCTACAGTGATTCTGGTGCGGGTCTATGTTGCTTTTGTTAAAGAGCTTAATGTGAAAAGTGAATTGCATAATGAAATTGGTAATAAACCTTCAGATAGAACTCTTAAATATCTGGTTGACAACTGGTCCAAAACACTTAACTGCCATCTTTGACAGTGTCTGGTTAAAAAACAACTTCATAACATGTACAAGTGTTTTTTTTCATACATTCGGGACTTTTTGATCAAAATATGGTAGTGACCTTAAAGGTTAACATTTTCCATTATTTTACTACTTGAATTGTTTTCTAGCCTGAAGCAATGCTAATTTAGGTGGGCTAAAACTTGCAAGTAGCTGCCCACCTACTTGGTCATTATGTTTTCTGTGGTTCAAAAGAATGTACAACAAGAGCACTTGAACTTTTAGACAGGGACTTTGTAATGATCAATTCCCCAGGAGGTGATCCCTTCAGCAATACTAGAAGGAAAATAGTCCTTGAATTAAATAAAATGACATTTTGCTTTGCACTTGTGTCTGCTTATGACTTTTACTAGTGGAAAATGTGTAGTCTGTGGCAGATTCTGTGATGTGGTACTTATGTGTAGGATTGGGTGGAGTGGAAGGGCAGATTTCTGGTTGTCTGAAACAAAAGTGACATCAGGTTTGTCTGGAGAGATGGGGAACAACTCATGCTGGATCCCAAAAGCGTCTCAGTGATTACATACACTGGAATAATTTCAAATGTAATAGTGCATTCATTGCAGACTATTGCAACACATACTTATTTTGTTAGTTCAACTGCAATAAGAAATTTCCTCAACAATGGATCTTGAAATGGTTTTAAATTGGATAGAAAAGGGGAAGCTTAGATTATGGCATTTGAGTGCATCGTGTTAGTTTGCTTAAGTGAGCCAACTTCTACTGTAACTTGTGCCATAAAACCAAACTACAGCAACTTATTTTAAGTCAGCTAATGGAATGTGATTAAAATGAGAAAAAAATATCTTAAAACATGTACCAAAGGCTGTGGCAAGATATGGTACAGGATCCAGCCCTGTGATTAGGGCCAACCTTTAATTACTGAACCAGCGTTCATAACTCAAGATCTGTACAAAATTTTAAAAGTCAGGGTAGTCAGTAAGATGCTCTAAACTTTTTTCTTACTCTTATAGCTCCTATTGCATATGCAACTGTGAGTGGCAGTGATATGTGATGCTGGTATATGTGTGTAGTAAGATGCAAGAACATTGCAGAGACTTGTTGGGTTCTTGATGTGTTAATGTGTATTCTGTGGGAGAAGTGAAGCTGCTCACTGTTGACAAAAATCATTCTCCTTTTTCTAGATGAGTTAATAAAGGAGTTGATTTTGGAGCAAAAATTCAGAAGCTCCCATTAACAGTGTTTCACCCCACAGGTACTTGCTCTGGGTTAGCACAGAGCACACAGATGGTGACGTGCACATCCATACAGCTATTTGGAATAACCTTATGTGTCAGAGGATCACTATTCTTGGTACTTCCTCAAGAAACAGCAAGTGAGGTACAGCCAATTCCCCTCTTGGGTAAATGGGAAATATGCAATAGTGTGATGGTCAGACACTGTGGGCAATGGAACAACCCAGCTCACTTCTGGACTGCAATTACTGGTTGCAGAACTACTTTCTTGTTGTGTATTCTTCTTAATTGAGCAATAGAGGTAAGTAAAATTGAATCAGCTTTAATGCAGGATTGTAGCAGAGGCCGATAGTACAACTGGGATCACTTAAAAACTAATTTACCTATTTGAAAGGACTAGTTAAAAGTGTAATGGCATGGAATGAGAAAGCTAATGTGGCAATCCATTTAGCTCTTCCTCCCCCAAGGAAGGCAAGCTCCTGGAAGAAGTAAAAGAACAAAATACCTTAGAGGACATGAGTAGAAGGAGGTTGAGATATGCAGTGTCAGTGAAAAAATAACAAGAGCTGAAGCCATAAACAAGAAGGTAGTGATAAAGCAAAGGCAAGAGTAGAGAACCAGATAATATTTGTTCCAGCTCTAAAATATGGTCTGGCTATGGTCTCAATGAATTGACTTCTCTAGCCTCAAGGGTAAGGTTCTACACTTACCTTTAGTAGCTGTGCTGTTTTCAGTCAACACAAAGCCACATTCCTACCCAGATCCTTAGGGTCGGAAGGAGTTTCCCAAGGGAAGGTACAGATACATTTGCTTATGGTTACACAGGACTCAGTCTCCTGCTAAGCCAGCTGTTAAAACTCTAAATAGCCCTTTCATGGAAACACACAAAAGGAGTGGGTTTGGATACTGAAGAACAAGTTTCATGACAGTAGGAAGTAGTAATTATCTAGTTTAGACTCATATTAGTCAGTGACAAGAAAATAAGCAGTTGAGCAGCTGTGCAGTGACACTGGCAAATGAGGAAATCTGCTGGAAGGAATCTGTGCACTTTGTCTGCAGATGCCAGTGTAATCCCCCACAATGACAAAAGGAATTGTTGGTTAAAACTTCCTTCAGATGGGGCTTTGCATCCCCAGCAAGATCTGAAGTTCTGCTCTAAAAGAAAACAGCAGATGATGAGTTTGGTACCTTTGCATTTGCTTATAGGATAGTGTAGCGGCTGTTGGGCAAATACAGAAGGTGGTTTGCAAGAAGGGAAAGCGTGGTTTCAGAGATTGGATTGTGTTTGGAAGCGGGCTGAGCGAGGCTGAAAGCAGCTCTTGCTCTGGGAGTGGTTTCCTTCCACCTTGCACCCAGTGTCAGAACGGAAGGCCGTGTTGCATGGGGCTGTGGGAGTTGCTCTGGGTCACTTATCTTTCATTTTTATTACAACCTGGATAACAAAGTAGTATGCACGTTAAATCTGCAGTCAACAGGAAGCTGGACAGATGTGGAAGATAAGATAGCATTAGAGTTCAAAATAGTCTTGGCAACTTGCAGAAATGGTTGCAGCAGGGAGGAGATGGTGGGGAAAGACAAGATCCTTTTTATCAAGGCACTAAATTTAGGTAGGGGAAAACAAATGCACAAATTCAGAGTGGTGCCAACTAGTGAGCACTGTTTCAGATAAAGGCTCTGGCAGCTTGTCCTGCTGGTGGTAGAAAAGCTTCAGTCTGGGTTTCACAAATGGTTTGTTGAGACTGAAGGTAATCCCGTGCTTCACAGGAGCACCTGTAAGTATGGAACTTGAGACACTGTACAGGACAGGAAAGTGCAATAGGCAGGGGCATGACTGATACCTTGAATATGTGGGAAAAGGCGCTTGTGAGGATGGACTGGAAGAACTGAGCTTGAAATCATATGGTAGATGGGGCTTAAATTGTAGCTAGAATGAGCGATAGTTTCTTCTAAGGCCAAATACCAAAAAAAATTAGGATAGGGAGTCACTGTACAGAATTGTGGGGAGGTGGTAGTAGCTGTTCCACAAATGGAGATCTGTTAAGAGCAAGCATCTCTCAGGAGCAATAGCTGCTTTTTGACTTGCTTTGACGCGGGGAGAAGGCTGGCTGACTTTCCACAGTCCTTTCCTATCCCATTTTCCTCTGGATCTGTGCAGCTTGCATCTCTGGGCAAGCCTAAATGTTTCAAGGTAAATAATTGTTGGAGGAAGAGGAGCTGAGGTGGCAAGGAGAGCACTATAGAGCAGAGAGGTAGGAGCTTCCAGTGCAGGGTTCAGCTGTGATCTGTAGCTCCCGCTCAGAGCTCACATTTCTTAGAATATAGGCCCCTATGGTGTAAGTTTGGGCTAAATCATGTCTCAGAAAAACGTAAATATGTATTTGTCTGTATCCAGGTCCATTCTGGGGTGGGTGGTGCTTAGTGAATTTACCTTTATTTTCAAATCACAGGTAAAGATGCTGCTCACCTCTTGGTGTAAGGCTGGCCTCTGCAGTACCTCTGCAAACACACATTTGTTGGAAAGCTCTTGGTGGTTGGCAGATGCCAGGATAATTTTTTCTAAATCTGTTCACTGTGTTTATTTTGCAAACTACACATTGTTTGTTTTTAAAAGTACCGGAGTATAGATCTGCGTGCTTGCACAGTGGGCTCTCACAGCAGGGCTCATCCTCTCATTAGGAATCATCCAGTGCTGCTCAGCAGATAGCCTGGGATGTTTCCTTTGAGGTCTTGTCATGGAAAGAGGTGACACAGCCGTGCTGGTGGTGTGTGTTGCATGTGCTCACCCTGCAAAGGACCCGATCCAGGAGCTGCCACTTCCACCACACCTCTGTACCTTCTCATCAGCATTTTAAAGGGATGAGCATCAAACAGTCAGGATCTGGGGCCCTGCTGCTGTGGCTGCTTGTCCTTGGACCCCTTGGTGGAGCTTGTTAGTTGTTTAATGGACACAAAATGCAGTTTTACTGGAGCGTTGCTGCCATATGCTGAGCAGCCCATTCTGGTGTATTTTCAAAGTGAGTTTTGACATCAGTTGTTTTGGAGTTTGTGTGTAATTAACATCATCCAAGTTACTGCTCCCACCACCATCTGGTCATCACAATACTCACTGGCATGCTGAAGTGCTGGGTATTTACTAGGGGAAAATGAGGCTGCTTTCACTATCTGCAGCTTCTTGGACCCATCAGCAGTACTGCTTTTATGGTTTTTTGCTCTTGTAAAGTGCTTTTGAGATCTATTCTGTGAGTGCTCTGAGCCAGGGAAATATGGCATGAACTCTATGGAAACAAGTTTAAAACTTCCTTAGAGCAGCATTTCACTTCTTAAACTCTTTAAAACCCAAACCATAAGTTTAAATGTTTCATGATGCCTCAGTTTGGACAAAGAGCTGTGGTCTCCTGATTCAGGTGATCTTGTCTGATGTGAGCAGTGATGTGAATTGGAAGTGAGGGCTATTCTGTAGAGTACTCAAAACTAGTGTCCCACTTTCCAAAACAGACTTGGCTGAACTTCTCCCTGCAGCAGCATGGACTGAGGATGTATTCCCAGAGCTCTCAGCTATGCACTGGGGTGATGTTCAGCTGACTTTTTATTTCTTTGTGCTTCCTTGCTTCATCTTACGGCTACTCTGCATCAGGTGGGGCTTTGAGACACTGTCTGAACAGGTTTCTTGAAGTGTCAGACCTGTGGTTCATGACAAGGTAGCTACAGCAAGGGGAAGGTCAGTGCTGTAGCCCTTGCTTGTGATGTGTGTGGTAGCAGTGGGTTGCTCATCAAAATACGGGGCTGCTCACATCTCAGGGAAGCAGACATCCCTCAAAATTCATTCTCATATAAACCCCAGGCAGAAGAAGAGGGAGATTTTGGAAAAGAGAGGCAGAGGGTGGCCCTGTACTGTCTGCAGCTTTTGAGTTTTTTTGCAGCTAATGAGGTTTCAGTCCAGCATTCAACAACCTGATTTTGCTGCGTGACCCTGCTTCGTCCTCCCGACAGCTCTTCCCATGCACTGAATGGGATGTGTTCCTGTGGAAGATGGAGCATGTCCTTGCATTAACGGAGGATCTTGCATAATGCAGAAAGGTGCATGAGAGTGAGCTATGAGTCTGCAGGCAGCCTTGCATCTGCTGTTTGCTCAT